TCAACCTTCCTAATGCTGCAACCACTTAATACAGTTCTGTAGTGACCCCCAACCATGAAATTATTTTGTTACTATTTTATAACTGTAAGTTTGTCACTGTTAAGAATCATAACATAAATATCGGCTATGTAGAATGTTTGATATGATACACCTGGGAATGGGTTGTTTGACCCAGAGGGTCTTGACCAAAAGGTTGAGATCCTCTGCTCTAAGTGCATAAGGGGCAAGTGCCACCAGGGAGAACAGACTTGGAGCAAGAGTGAGGTTGAGATGTGTCCGAACTGGGAAAATCTCATCTTGAGACTGGCAGGAGTAACGATTGCTTCCTCCTTATTCTGGACACACTTCGTCCAAACCTGTGGTCATCCAGCACACCCATCACAGTAAGGAGTTTCAAAAACTACTGTATGTGGCATATGTATCCACCTCCCTGACAGCACTGGTGATAGGTACATAAAGGGATTTCCAAACCCTCAGCCTCTGAGGTACACATCTCCATTCTGCCTGTTTGTATTCCTAACAGGAAAGTAGCCCTTCCCTCAACACTACTTCTCATGTATTCTTCCATTGTTCTATTAGCATCAAGCCTAAGCATATCAGAGAGCTACAGTCTCCTGTCTCTGGGGCATACTTTCGCACTCAGTGAACTCACAAGGGAGAGATTAATAAAGCCATTGGAGAAGGAGCCACCACTCCTGCCCTATTCACTGCCCTGAGTGAGCTTCTCTGCCACGAGCATCATAAGAAGCCAGATATGATCCATCTACATCTGTCACACATGCACAACATTATAGCTTGTGAATTGAGAGGTCACAGGATCCCTAGCATCTATCATTCTTCCACAATGCTTTATGAAACCAAGCACTGAAGATTAGTCAACACGTGAAATTGCTGTCCTAGAACAACTCCTTGCCACACTGCACTGACTCTGGTTTATGAAGTCAGAGACCATCATGATCCTATCCTCAACAAAGTCACAATCATTTTCACTTATGCCATTCATGGTCAATACCAAGTTCTTCCAGAACTGAACTTCAAGCAATGCTGAGTGCAGTGAAGACTTATGTAGCAAAGGGGATTTTAAACATCATCCACTCAGTCAACTGCACTGTGACAAAAAGTCTCAACTCATTTCATCTTGGCAGACCCCAACATACAAACATCAGGGGCAAGAAGAACCAAAATAAAACGTCTCCGCAAAAAATTAACAATTACATAGTGATGACTGCCAATGACAATGACTTAGACAAAATTCTAGACAAAGAATTCAAAATAAAAATATGTCCAAAAAATTCCAAAGAGGACACAAATTCATGAACGAATCGAAAGAGGAGGCAATTAGCCTCTGGAGTCAATTCCAAGAAAACACAATCAGTTGCATAAATTAAGAAAATCAATTCAGGATTGAAAAAATCTTGAGATACTGAATAAAAGTCACATGGAAATGATATTAGAACTAAAAAATTCAGTAGGTCAAATAAGGATCTCATTGGAAAGCTTCAAGAGCAAATGAATCTTAGAACTGGTTAAACATCAGAGTTTGATACAAAAAATTCGATCACTCAGTTAAAATCAATGACTCTCTATTTTTTTTAAATGAATGCACTCAAAAGATCTGTAGAACAATATGAAAAGATAAACTTTTGAATTCTGGACACAAAATAATGAGAAGAATTTTACTTTAAAAACCTAGGCACTGTTTTTAATAAAATAACAGAAGAAAATTTCCCAATCTCTGAATGAGATGCCCATCCAGGCATAAGAGGCATAGAGAGCATCAACTGGGTAGGCCTAGAGAAGAAACACCCATGAGATATTTATTATACTCTACAGAACAAGTAAAGGATACTAGAAATTTCAAGAGGGAAGGCTTAAGTCATATATAAAGGCAGCTCCATCAGAATAATATTTGATTTCTCAATGGAAACACTAAAACTAGAAGCATTTGGAGAAACAGATGTGCTTCAAGTCCTGAGACTTGCATCCAAGATTTCTACACCTAGGAAAACTATTTGTCCTACTATCAATAAACAAAAGAGGTTGATAAACATTTACAGAAGCAGGAGAAAATAGTAAGACTGTGTGTATGTAAATGTATGATTATTATGTATATATGTGTATGATATATGTGTTTATGTGTGTCTTGGTGGCTGACTGTCCCATAACATGTATAGAAGGTGACAATAAAACTCTGGGCATCAGTCTTGGCCTTCTACCTTGTATGAGGCAGGCTCTCCTTGGTGTTCACTGCTTCATATACTAGACTATTTGTTTTGAGCATTTGAGTCATTCTTCTCCACCTATATACTATCTAACTATGCAAGCACTGGACTACAGACATATAATATTATACCTGACTTTGGGTTCATCATTCTTACATGGCAAACACGACACTTTTTACCCACCCATCAGTTTAATTTTTTTTCTCCCTGCACAGACAACACACATTCTTCTAATTTATTTGTTAACACTTTTTGAGAGCATCCAGTATGGTGTCCCAGCTTTCTACCAAGCATATTTCAAAATCCTTTTTTTACTATCTTGTTATGTTCCATAAATGATTCTAATGATTCTAACCAATCCAACCATCTTCCACAACTGCTTGCAACTTCATCCACAAAGTATTTCAGAAACTCATCAATTACATCTTAAATGAATGTTATTTCACCAATAGTAGTAAAGTATAGCCATGCCTGGACAGTATCCAGATTAATTCAATCAAACACTAGGAAAATCTTTACTCCTTGTCTGTTTTACCCATGCTTTGACCAAGAAGCTGAAATTTAGAAGTTGTATTAGAAGTAATCATTTATATAGCAGATATGAAGGAAACCCAGATGCATTGAATATTATTGATAGGTCTTTAGCTTTTCCTCTTCCAGGTAATTTTTCATTTTGGTCAAAGGCAATAGTACAAACCATGCTAAGAAAAGGCTGCTACCTCGGCTTTCTGATTTTGGTGCCAGGACTTGACGTATAATCTCTCTGCGCTTTTCAATAACTTGATTGATTATTCACTGTGTGCATGCTATCTTCTTAGGAAATTCACTGTTATGATGCTGTACAGTACTAGAGTTCAACTGTCCTTCATATGTCCTGTCGCGCATTCTTTGCACTTATGAATCTGGGATTTCTGTGTGCTGTCCTACAGAAGAACTAGGTTTCACTGCAAGAAAACAGTGGATGTAGCACATTTTTCTCTTTAATCAGTTCTTTTCAAATTTTTGAGAAACAGAGCTACAGCCTTGTCACACGTGTATCCTCTCTGGGACCTGTCTTAGTCAAACTCATCCCTAAACCATTATAAGTTCCCGTCACTTTCAGTGTGTGGGTTGTTGGCACTTATCTTGGTACCCCTTGGTGAAGTCATCATACAGGCTCAGTGTTTCTCATACAACACACAACACACTCTTGTCAGATAGGAAAAATTTTCTGTTCATGTTTCCGTCCAAAAATGGAAGGCATATTTTATTTATCCCTTATGAGAACTATAACTTTTCCAGTTTTAGGTTTGACAATAAACCAGTAAGAATTTATTTTTCCTGTTTCACAATTTCATGAACAAAGATTTAGTCTTGCTTTAGATGTTGGCAACCTTAGCATATTGCTGAGATTTTTTTTATAAAGTTATATAAAATTTTACCTATTCGCTAAACATGATATCTCTACAGCTTCTTCCCAGTCTATATAAATTGCCAGCCCCAGTACTCTTGTACTACAGGGATGTTATTAAGAAAAAGAAAGGGTTGTTTAGACACAGCTACTGTAATTCCATGACATCTGACCTGAGTGTTAAGATGGTTATAAAGGCATATATGTAGCTGCAACATGGATGTATAGGGGAAAGGGTAACCTGTTCTTCAGGAAGAACAGAATAGCTCAGTAAGTAAGACTTTATCATGCTAGTCATAATGGTGCGTAACTTGAAACCCATCTTTCATTTTTTTCTAAATTCTATCCAATATGTTCAGGCTACAACTGTTGTGGATAACACAAATCAAGAAATGTAAAATGGAGAGAGGATGTGGAAATGATAACTGTATAATGTGTTGAAAACTCTTAGCTCAGCATATAGCATCTGGGAAAGGTTCAACTGATAGATATTACCATTGCCACCATCATCATTATTATAATAGGATAGCCACATGTTTAAACAAAATAATAGATTTGAGACAACTAAAAACTCTGACATTTAGAATAGTTTTCTTCTCTCATGCAAAGAAAATGTTCACACTGTAATATTTTTAAAATAAAAAATATTTCATGCAAAATAATAGATCAGGGGTATTTGAAAATACTGACATCTAGAGTGGTTTCCTTCTTCCATGCAAATAAAAAATGTTTACATCAAAATCATTTCAGAATAAAAATGTATTTTCATATATTTCAAGAACTCCATCCATTGGTCTTAATTGAAGTTAAACTAGCTTTCTTAACGAAATATCCCCATCCAAATAGCCTGGTATTGCAACACTTTTCTGGAAGTACACGTAAAAGTGTAAATTAATCATTAATAAACATGAGATGGGTATTTATTTGCAAGTCAGATTGCTCCTTGGAGGACAAGAGGGCATGCTATTCCTCTCTGTCACCAGAGGACTGTGACCCAGATCAGCAGCTCAGGAGCATCTGCTACGTCCAGACAATCATTTAACAGTCAGGGTTTTCTGTTTTCCAATTTTCAAGAAATCCCGTGCTACAGCTATTTTGATATTCTTTATCCCTGTTCCTTAAAGAAAGCTGCTTTAGCATCAGCAGCCGATACTGGGAGATAATTCAGACGAAATAAAACACAACAACAACTTAGTCTTAGCTGAAGCTAAGTCCTTTGTACACATGGTGTTTTAATCTCTCAGATATTTCCCTGACAGTTGATTTAACTATTTCTCTAGTAGAACTGCAGAAGGAACAAAGAAAATAGTACAATATATCCACTGACAACAGGCCATTGAGTTTTCTGTTTCCAGAAAAAGTTAAGTTTTAAAATCCATACTACAGACCTGAGGCCATACAGGACAGTACCATCTGGATGCAGTCGTATCATACGGTTTTTGACAGTCACCCCATGTACAAATGACTTCTTATCATTCAGGAAGTAGGTGTCAGGCACCCAGAGCTGGTCTGCCACTCGATTGTCCAAAGTCAAATTTAAAGGGATTACATTGTAGGACAGCCTCTTATCTCTCCAGGCTTGCTGAAAATACATGGTCAAGGTATAGTCCTGTGGATATGAGAAGAAATATAGTTATTTTGTAACATCGCAGACTCCTGGAATAGATTCATTGATTTAATTCATTCTTTGCAAACATTCAGGCTACACAAAAGTTGTTATATGTTTCAGGAAGATAGATAACAAGGAATCATTAAATAACTTAATTTTTCTGTTGTTTTACAAAGAAAACACATAAGGTTATTTTAGGTAAGATATAAATACAAATTTAAAAGGCTAGGCACTTGTTTTCCTCAGCATTGAAATAATTAGCACATCAAATCTAAGATTTCATGCATTGATTCATTCAACAAATGTTTAATTTGTTCCTGGTATGTGGCTGGCAGTGCTGAGGAGAAGATCAAAAGCCTGCTCTAAGGGAATTTATAAACAAAGCATAGATAAATGAAAAGAATATCAAATAATGTTGCAGTCCACAAAGAAAATACAGCAAATTTAAAAACATTTATATGGGATGGTGTAGAAGAAAGCCATTCTAGGGAGCAGAGTTGGTGCAGAGACCAGAAAGGCCAACCCACTGGCTCTTAGAGGAACATTCTAAACAGAGGAGAGTCTACCACAATCCTAATGTTTGAGTGGAATTGTCATGTTTAGTGAACAGATGAAAGACATTTCAGCAGGAGTACATAGGAAGAATGACAACAGAACAACCCCGTGAGATTTACCATTCAGAAGAGGATTGGTGTTAGTGATGCCTCACTATAAAATGACAACAAATGTTGGATATGAGGAAAGAGGAACCCATTGTACTTTTGGAAGAAATATGAACTATTTCAGCCATTGTAGATATCAGTATAGAGGTTTTTCAAAAATCGAAAAATATAATTACCATATGGCCCAGTAGTACAATTTGTAGTCATACCGGATTGATATCTATTTGACATTATCAGCAATTGTTGAGAAATTGAACTAGCCTAGATGAAAATAAATGAATGAATGAGAAAATATTATGCATATGAGTAGTGGGAGTTTATAGCCAGGAAGGGAAAAAAAACCCCACAATATTAGCAAGAAAAATGATAGAACTATAGATCATTATGTTAACAGAAAGAAGCCACACCTCAAGCAGTGTACCATATCTTCTGAAGAATAGCAGGTTGCAGTCCTCCTCGCCCCCACGAATAACTAGGGCCTGCCAGTCGGGTCAAGTGGCACCCAGACGTGGGGCTCGAGGAACGGACCCCTCTGGACGGACCCTCATTGAGAGGATGTGCGCAGGACATCAAGATTAAGCGAGACAGAGATCAAAACCCGCGACCTGTCATCCACGGAACCAGGTTGATGCTGCCATCAAGAAGACGGTTGAAGTTCATTACCATCAGCCGAAAATTGAAGAGGATCCAGAAGTGACTCTGCAGGAGACTGACACAGCTGCCAGCTCCCCTGCCTCCCCCCTACGGTCGACCGCTAGACTTCCACGCCCTCCAGAAGGGTTCCTGGTATGCCTGGCTTTGCCCCCGTTTCTCTCGATAGAGAGCTTGGCCTCTTGATCACCACAACAAAAATTGGCTTTTTCCTAAACCAAGGCCGCCCTTGATATGGCCGCTAACATTGGGGAGCCTTCCTTTATGACAATATTACACCCCAAACTAACAAATGGTTGGTAAATTGAACATTTACAAGGGACTAGGATGGCTGTGAGTTAGCCCAATGACGGGATTATTGTAGGTCCACTTCCCAGGGGCCCACCCAATGCAGCCGAAAAGGAGTGCGTGGTGCTGGGAGTGGGTGCAGCCTACATGGCCTAAGACAGGGCCCTCACCCTCCTTTCACCCACATCGGAGTCCCTTGACGTTGCCCATCGTCGACAGCCTAAAACCTTCGACCATCGATGTGACTCGTCTCACATCAGTGTTTTGGGGTTGTGAACTTGTCTAAGACCCCCCCAAAATTAGACATCCAAATTCAAAATTCACATAGTTGGGATTGATCATAAGATGCCTTCTCTAACTAAACAGAGAAGGGGGAGATGCCAGAAGCCAGGACCCTCGCCCTTACCCTCACCCCCCACCTTTCCCCACCTGCACAATGTCCTCTGAAGCTTGGCAACTGCAAGATCCTGCTTAGCAACTGCAGATAGACTCAAAGCAGTGTACCATATCATCTTAAGAATAGCAGGGAGACCATAACTCAAGCAGTGTACCATATCTTCTGAAGAACAGCAGGTAGATCATAATTCAAGGCAGTGTACCGTATAGACCATGACATGTTTCAAGGCACAGGCCAAGAAGATTTTGTACTTTTCCACCATCTGGCCCCTCTTACCCCCTCCCCTTGTGAAACATGGTATAAAAAAGCATTTCATGTTCAAAAATAAATAAATTATTTATAAAAAAAAAAAAAAAAAGAAAGAAGCCACACATTGAGAGACAAATTCTTCATGCTTTCTTTAATACATGGATCTTACACACACACACACACACACACACACACACACATACACACACACACGTCAAGAAACTGAAAATGGAAACAAGGAAAACAGAGTCATTATAGGGAGGAAGAAGACCAACCAAAATTCTAAGGGGATGGGAGATGGAAGTGGGTGTAGAGAAATGAGCTAGTTATCAGGTACACACAGCACTTCTTTTTGCCTGAGTTGATTAAGTATAAAGAGAGTTCTTAATATATGCCTAATATAATCAGAACTATTATGGAAATTAAATAAATAATGCAAATGCAATTTGTAAACCACATAAAGCAATATATTATGAATAAAGCATTAACATATATATTGTGACATGCTTGATCCATTAGAAGCCTATGGCCACAAAGGAATTGCTCTCTCCCCTTCATTTGAATGACTAATCGGAGGACCAAATACTCATTTGAAAAAAGATAATTACAAATCTATTTTAAAATTAATTCACAATGACCTACTTGAGGGCTTTAAAAAAATGAGAGTCACGTCTTAATCATTCCAGCAGCCTGAGAAACTAGATCAGCACCAGGGCACAAATAGTGAATGAGTGAATGGGCTGTAAATCGTGCCTCTGGGATTTATGCCCAGAGCTGGATAATTCTGTATATAAGACATGTTATTCAATCTTCACAATACCTAAGTTTTTCCAGACTTTGTTGGGATTTATGCATCCCAATTTGTGCCTCACATCATATATGTCATGAACAATTATAAAAATGTATAAGCATGTCATGTATACAAAAAGTTTAAATATGTCTCTGGCTTTGCACATCTGCTCACCTTCAATCAACAATTTACTTCATCAAACAGCATCTAATTTTACCATCAGACTTATATCTCAATAATACAGATACACTAACATCCTAAAGGTATTCCAGATAGCTGTAGATGAAAATCAGTTTAATGGATCACCCTGACCACTATTCTGCAAATTTCTAATACAGGAAAAGTGTTAGTGTGAAGATCATTAGAAGAATTCACAGGCTTCGCAGAAACATCACTGGAGAGTCAGAACTACAATACTACAAAGTAATATCCTGTATAGTTTTCTTAAGTATGTGTCACAAATAACGTAAAAGCAGGAAATACAAATAAATAGGCAATTAATGTTGAGAATAAGAAAATACTGATCCCATTACAAGTCAAAACTACTCACATTGGCTTGACAATAAGTATTAAACACAATTTGGAAAGAGCTGGATTTTATCAGACAGCTGATACCTATTTAAACACAAGTCCAAAAAAATGGTAATGTGCTTGTATGTTACATGCTAACTCCTATTATTTATTTTCAAGTCATTGCCTTCTAAGAAGTACTCACTCCCAAATAGCACCTGGACATTTTGTAACCTAGCGTATCAGTCTCCATTTCAGTTATCTCAAAGCTATCATGTTATCATAGCACCCTCAGGGAAGAAAGAATTTGTACACATGAGGAAAGAATCTTCCTACAGTCTATCCTTTCCTCTACCTAAGATAACCTCAGGTAAACCACCTGTTTACCTTAGACAGACCCTTTCAACTTCCATATTGATCTTCTATCATTTAGAATTTAACCATGAGGCGCTGTCCCAAAGTTGCTATATTTGAACAGGAAATTCTCAACTTGACCACAATCCAGACCATCTCCGTGAAAGATGGATTTAGAAGGCTAACCCTAAAACCAATTATTTTCAATCTTGTGCAAACTGATGTTTGTACTGCAGGGAATTTGTCCCACTAACTGCAAGTAAAAAAAAAAAAATTCTAGAAATAATAAGAAAGCAGCTATCTGTTATGATCATGTAAAGTTAAAAATAGTAGATAATAAAAGAAATAGAATTTGAAGTAAAATTGTTACAATGGTGAGATTGTTATTGTATTATTGTAATTTTTGTCTTCTCTTTTATTTTATTGAACTAACATGAATGAATGTGTGCATGTGCCCACACGCAAAGATGGAAGAATATATCCCTAAATAGGTGGAGATATATGCGGTATTCATGACTACAAGGATTGATATTATTAAGCTGTCATCTGCCTGAATTTAATCCACAGATAAAATTCAATATGAACATTGCTTTTGTCTCCACATATAGGGGTCATTTTTAAAAAATATGAGCAAGGTGTTAAAATTCATATAAAAAACATAGGAATAACCATAGTCAAAATAATTTTCAACTGAAAGAATGATGTTGAAGGACAGAGAATAGTTTTTAAGACTCAGGATGAAATACACTAAGCTATGTGGGGATAATAGTTACAAAAACATAGATCAGTAAATGTCTAAAAATAACTACACACACCTGTATGTATGTTCACTTGATTTTTCAAAAAAGAAAATAAGGAAACCAACTGGAGAATGTATAATATTACAACAACCATCCAATTCAACTAGAATATAAATACTAATACACTGATCCTACTGTAATGATAAACCCAAATAAACACATCCTTCTATGAGTTGCCTTGGTCATGGTATTTTATCACAACAACAAAACTAATAAACAAAGTATAACATACACATATGCATACATATATGAATTAATTTTATCTTGTCAATTTCATATATATGTGCATGTATATTTAT